GCCTTTTTGTTTCCTCTATATAGTCTTTATAAGCGCATTGGGGTACTTTTGAGCGAAGTATATTAAAAAACTAAAATAGTTAATAAGACAAGAACTGTTTGTGCTAACCACAAGAACTGCTTTCGATTTATTCGTAATAGTATTTTATGCAATATTTTGATAAACAGTTTGAGTTAGTTTTGTTTTGGCATAACCGGAGTGCCGCGGGCGACGTTCTTCTTTGTCCTTTCAATTCTAGAAGAATTCATGGTGAAAATAAGACTACCACGAAAGATAAAATAATATAAGCACGCAGAACAATGGCAATTGTGGCAGGAAGGTCGCCAACCAATAAAATAAAACGTCTTGACAATTAAAGTTTGTATGGGGGAGGCTCGAGAAACGTCTGGATAGACACACACACATACGTTGAAGATGAGACTACACCTTGACAAGGATTCAAGACAATAGAGTCTCCATCCTTCGAAGCAAGTATTTGCAAAAGAAATCTGTTCTATGTTCCTTTTTCGTTCAATCCAGATAAATTCAAAGTGAACAAGACTACTAGGAAAGATGACATTTATAGGCACGCAGAACTGGGGCAATGGAGAGGAAGGAAAAAACAAAGGAGCCTTAAGGAAGGTCAGTAACCAAGTTGACAGGCCAGGCAAAACAACTATACAATAAAAGTTTGTATGAAGCCGGATCAAGATAGAAACGGCTCGTCGAAGATACGACTACATCTTTACAAGGATTCAAGGAAAAGACGAGAACATCATTCCTAAATAGCAATAGCAACAAGACTACTAGGAAAGATGACATTTATAGGCACGCAGAACTGGGGCAATGGAGAGGAAGGAAAAAACAAAGGAGCCTTAAGGAAGGTCAGTAACCAAGTTGACAGGCCAGGCAAAACAACTATACAATAAAAGTTTGTATGAAGCCGGATCAAGATAGAAACGGCTCGTCGAAGATACGACTACATCTTTACAAGGATTCAAGGCAAAAGACGAGAACATCATTCCTAAATAGCAAGGTTTTAGAAGGAAAATAAGACCTCGTCGGATATACGAATTTTCATTTAAGTCATTACCCAACAGCGACAAGAAGTAAAGAAATAACTCCTGTTTCCGAGACAGAAATAGAACAAAATGCGGTAACTTTGACAAACATTTTTGACAACGACCAACGGAAACACAAAAGTCGCTTAACATTCCTCCAGTGGAGACGTAACAAAATCAATATTTCTTTATTTGTGCGAGACGTCTTAATTTTTTCATTAATTGGTTTATCGTCACTCAAGTCACGGTCGGTAAGCGTCACCCATCGCAGTGTTTACCGACTCTTAATTTTTTTGCCTGTTCGTTTTTTCATCAATTTTCTGCACCGGAGAATGTCCGGAATGTCTCGGTGAACGTCGCCTTTATTTCATATAAGTAAAATCGTCGCAAATGCGTTTTTCCGTCCAGTACTACGTCGGCGCACGGATACGCAGCGCGATTAGTCGCATATTTTCAACTCCGCATTCTTCGCAGAGATCTCGTCGGGAAATAATAATTGTTAACTTTATCCGGCGTCGCTGACATACTAACAACGACGTTATTTCTGCTCAGGTGTACAGTCTCGCAAACTGTACCCACGGCTAATTAATTAATTAATTCATTTATTTATAGAAATAACGTTACGTTATATTGCTTGAAGCAGACCAAAAGATGGACACAAAAAAATTTCTTACAATACAAGAAATTACAATATAAGAAATAACAAAACCGACGAATACGTCAAGTAAGAAATGTTATAGAAATTCTGTTCCTAATATGTTTTTTAAAGGTACGTAAGTTAGTTTTGGTTATATATTATATAATCACATTAAATGTGAACACTGAAAGATAGTCTGTTACGAAGGGTATAAGGGTTGGCGTTAAAGAGAATATGGTGTACACAAAACTCAGAATCGATAAAGTTATTTACTACTACCTTATATCCAAAGAAAATACCAAAACACTGCATTTTTAACTACAGTGATTGCAAGCGATAATGGTGTAAAATTTCATCTTCATGAGAGTGAAAACAAGCATCTTTGTCTATTGAAACGAAAATTAATTTGAAATTAAAGAATTTTATTTGGACATTCTCAATTCTATCCAGGCAATTCTGGTATATAGACTGCAAACTATTGGCATTCCTATTTCTACCCCAGTACACTTTTTACCACACGGCAACATAATGTAAAGAACTCAGTAGTTCTCAGAATAAGTCATAAATTACGCAATGCTTTGCCAATGATAAATAAGACTCACACAACTGTTTCGAGTCCAGAGTAACCCTTAAATCTTTTACCACGTTAACACGTTTTAATTGGATATTGTGTAATTTTAAATTCATATTTGGAATTCTCGACAAGTTTAGTTTAGAAAAAAATATGTAGAGACATAGTTTACTTTATCGAATTAACGACAGTAGAAATCTTTAGGTTATCAGCGTATAATGAATACGCACTAAGAGTGACGAGAGTCCAGAACACACCACTTCCTATATAAACGTTTCCGTGCAAAATCTGTCGAGACAAAAATCGACGGACGAAAAAGGAAACTTTCCGCGCGCTGGGCCGTAAAAGTTACCATCACAAGGTGCTTGGTTTCCGCAAACCGCAAGGAAAACTGTTATTTAATGATTATGGGCCCATCTTAAAACCCAGCCTGAAGGGGTGGAAAAGTGATTCGGGGATAATGGACCCATTATTATTTATTATTTCCCGTATAGATTTGTTTGTTGAACGGTCGGTGGGGTCGAGCTTTTTGGGTCGCGCAGAAACCTCTATATAAATTAAAAGAACAAATGGAATAATAATTTCGCTAAATGGACGGGTATACACGGGCAGTCCAACAGAGCCTCGATTAAGTGAAAATGATAATGAAATCGTTGTTGATTAAATGGCGCACTCTGATGATATTTAGATTTTTCGACGACGATAAGTCCTCGAAAACTACTCCAATTTGGAGCATTGCCTAATGTCATTCATGATATCCGTACTTTTCGTGTAAGCATTCATTACCCACGCTACTCTGACAAATTAGGTTTTTTTTATATCGATTTCTAGGCAATGGATATTTTTCTGTGCCTAAGTGTAAGTTTACTTATTATTTGCCTTTATTTTTATCGTGATGGTATCGATTAACTCCTCAGAAGTTAAGTGGATTGAAATAAAAAACTCCATAAAAAAATAAAATCAGCTGGGGAAGTTTAGTTCTGAAAGCTTTTTAACATGGATAATATTGGAAATAGTGCTTTACTGGGACTTGTGCGACCACAGGCACAAATATTGAAAACTACAAAGTAATCTTCCAGGACCATATAGGGGATATCAAAATTTCACTATTAATTTTTTTCCAACCTCCCTGTACATAGAGAGATGCCACTGACCGAAAGTGTTTTACCGGCAAAGTTTCGTGGCTTTAATAGCTTTAAACAATGAATTATTTATATTGATAACATGCATACAAAGTGATGGGATTAATTAATCAAATAACAGGAAAAATAGTTTCTATTACACAACAGATTTTAATTCATACATTTAATTTGTTAGTTTATTAAGAAACGCATACAAAAACACTTAATTCTTAAAGATTTTTAGCTTAAAATTTGCCAAATATTTATTTTTACAATAGACGTTTTAAAAAAGTTTTAAGGTTTTCATGTGACGACCCGTTATAGTTTTAATTTTTCCAATATTTTAGAAGTATGAAGTTATGTAGACGAAATTTATACTACAGTGCAACAAGTTCCTGAAAATGTTAAAAATCCATCATTATTCCTGTTGTTATTTAGAGTAATATAGTTGTTAATTTAATATAAAGTATGAAAAAAGTGATTAATACAGTATCCAAAATATTTGTGTATAATTGAACTGAGGTGGCCTTTACTTGATGAAAATCCATTTGCCAAAATAAATAAGAACTAAAAGTTCAGATTTTCACGAAATTATATATTTTTACATGACAACTGTTTCGACAACACCGTGTCTTTATCAAATGATAAAATGAAAGAAAAGAAATTTTAAAAAGTTACTATAATGCACCGCCATACATCACAAAAGTTAAAAAAAAAAGATATTTTGAAAACTCTATGTTCGCCCTATACAAATGCAAATGTATGACCATCACTGTCTTTCTGAGTAGAGCAATAAATTCGATTTACCATATCACCCTTAACCTACCAGTAATACGCATCACACTTAATGTTATTAACATCTACATAATGGTTTGATAGATCTATCCGAAATCCTCTATATAACCCCTTGGGACCATGGCATTAGCAACATTAGAAACAATAACAATATTTTGAACACCCCTATGCAAAGTAATAGATAGTAGTAGGAGTAGTAGTAAGAGTAGTAGCAGACATACAGACATACAGACATCGATGATAAATCGAATTAAAGATAAATTATACATTTTCGGTACGTGGCCGCGAATGTAGATATATTCCGAGGTGAGCGACACCACGCGTTCGCATAAAATTTTCACACAAACACAACAATAATCGCAGTGTAGAGATGTAAATAAATAACCCTAGCGACCAACAACTAACGTACGGGAACTCTCACAGTCAACATTATAAGCAAATTCAATGCGTGTAGGCCCTTATCGTATTTCGAGTATAATATAAATTCTGTAGATGTTTTACATGTGTTTCTGTGTTTATCAAGCGCGATAAGCTAATCAAAGTGATAAGCCGGAGCTCGGATATCAAATGCAAATAAAATATAATAAAACATTATATACGCGTAGCGTACGGGCTGCCTGATGTGCCGAGATAATTATTATAAACCTGCGTTTAATTCAGAGGCTCCCTCTCGCCTTTATAAACAACCAAGAAGCTTCTTGATGTTTAGGTGAACAAATATGTGTACAACAGGCGCTACATGTGTTTTTATCTACGGTAGGAAGTAGATACGCGCGTATGGAGCATTTATACACTGCGCGGATCCATGATTGTAAATATTGATTGCTACTGCTTACTTGTTTAGAAAAAACGGCTATGTCTTCGTTAAATGACTCGGATGAGCATACGTCTCCACCGGCAACCCCGGGCTCCCTAGGCGTACACGTTGCCAGCTCGCATTTTTCGAAGATTAGGGCTAATAGGGGGAAGAGGGGATGTCTGAAAAAGAAACCATAAATTAGAATTTCCAAAAAGTTGATAAAATAAATAATAAGTACAAGTATGCCTTAAGAAATAGGTATTTATAAATACGACTATTACTCGAACCAATTTTGACATGACAATTGTTTCGAAAACACGGTGTCTTTATCACATTTGATAAAGACACGGTGTTGTCGAAACAATTGTCATGTCAAAATATATAATTTCGTGAAAATCTGAACTTTTAATTCTTATTTACTTTGATAAATGGATTTTCATCAAGTAAAAGCCACCTCAGTTCAATTTTTAAACAACATAGTAGTACACATGTAGTAGTAACATGTTTTCCAGCACACCTAATGCCTTTGCCTTCTTCTGTACTCTGTAGACGACTAATTCTTAACTTTTTGTTTGTTCCTTTTTATTATTCCTTAATTTCTTTTCTCTGTTTTTCTTTTTTAAAGTCAGGGATATAGGGTCCATTGAAAATGTAGAAGGTTTCTATACCTTTCTATAGCACAATTTTTTAGTTGTTACGCTCGTCGACTGAACAAATACATTGAAACAAATACTGGGGAGATAACTGCTTTTCAGATTCTTGATATTTTATTCACAGTCAGTTTTTCATTTTATTCAGAGTCAGTTGGAAGTGATATCTTTGAGATTTTCGTGAAATGTCCTATTTTTGTTCGGTGCCACTCTGTTTACCCTCGCGTTGCACGCTAAATTTGATGGAAAATTGAACTCTGGTGATTTTTTTGAGCACTTTAAGTACAACGGTCTATTTACACGGACAAAGATACGGACGAACCAATAGCTGGACCCTGCGCGTAGTTCAATATTTGTTCGCTTCACTACTGACTGTTTGTTTAAACGCGAAGGGTAATTACTTAACGCCTGGACGTATATTAATGATAAATGGGTAACCAGTTAGCGTATTCAAACAACGGGTTAAATAAAATCGAACCAAACGATGGAGCGCTCATTGCTACCGATATAGAATAACTAGAATAAAAAAAATTCACAATTGAAAATTTAACATATTAAAAAATGTGTACTCAATTATTTAGCAACGACCTTGCTGGGTCTTGCCACAATGCCCTTCACTAATATCGTAAGAGTATATTCGTGAAACCACAAAAACCCAAGAAGCGAGACCGCGCAAGCGCAAACCACTATCAAACACTTTTAGTGTATCAAGTCAATAAAAAGTATTGAGTCAAAATAGTGGTACATAGTTAATAAACGCATTTTAATAAGGAACCTTTAGATTATTTTTAATTGGTCTCACTTCCGATTTAGGACACCGTCGTCTTTAAGCTTTCCGTAAAATTCAAATTCAAGTGGTTAATTATTCATAATAGCTGTTTTATGGGCCCGTAAAATTCGTCAGTCCGTTCGAATTTACAGTTCCGTATATTCAACATAACGCGTTTTCCTATCACAAATTGTTACTGTTAGGTCTACTAAAATATCTATATCACAAATTTTACGATCTTTTTACGACTTTTAATGCATTATAAATAAAAATCGGCTCAGGTGCCGGATATTTTAACGCGAGGAGATTTCATCGAGCTAATGGACCGAGATCCTTCGTAAGTATTCTAATTGGATTCGGAATATATGTTGCTTTTGTTTTAAAAATTTACTTTTTTAACAACGAGAAATTGGTTGAAGGATTTTGCAGATCCGCTCATCAAGCTGTTTTATCACCTATTGTTGTTCCACTTTCGCTCTCAAACGCAATACCATAGCTTTAAAAATATATCCTATGGTATTTTCTTGTCAATATTCCAAATTGCATCCTTACATTTCGGATTCACCAATTTAATATTAATATTTCGTTTAATTTACGTCAGTACCTTCCTGACTCAAGTGTTGTGGCATTGCAAATCGACACACAAGATGGGTAGCTATTGCGAAAACCTATAAACTGACTATAAACTAACACATTTTTATGGTTATATTTACTTGCTAAGTTAAAAATAAATAACATTCATTAATCCTAAAAAAATAGAACAAAGTGTAAATAACAAAAATGGTGAAGTCTAGGGACAACGCTACTCTACCCGACCACCAATGTGAATATTATTAAGAGCAAAAAGAATAGAAGAAAGCGTTCAGTCTTTTTTCAATTTCACGAACTCTTTTAAATATAGAAGTGAATCTATACTGTACTGCACTATATTTGTGAATACGAATCTCATTGCGCAGATGAGTTGCCTACTAATACCAGTCTCACCTAGAGCTAATAAGACATTTATTTTTTAATATCTGCTTATAGGATAATTGATTGCATTGTTTTAGATTGTGTTTTCATTAAATGAACAATTTTTCTGTTTCTTATTTCTAAAAACCTCAATGCTTATGTATATAACTACAACTGGAAATAAAACTTTGTTGTAAATCCTTGTTTAAGAGTACATAGTTCTAAAGTTTCAATAAGCGTTGTGAAGTGAAATGCGTTTCGCTTTTAATGAAGGACAGAAATTATTATCACCATAAAATCACCAAAAGTTTCATCTGATAATAAAAGAAATAAATATATACAATGTTCATTGCTGAATATTCAATACTCCTTTACTGTAAAAGTGATATTTCCAAGCTAAAAGCGGTGAAACAATAAGGTTTGCCATCGATCACTAAACGAGAAATAATCAAATTGGTTTTAATTCACCGTTCTGGAGAATTTGTTTATAATTGCCAACACGCCAGGTTCCGTATAGATATGAGCTGCGTGCAGCCTGCAGTCCGGTCGAGCAATTTGCATTTTTAATGCCATCTGATATTTCTGCGGCACAAGTTAATTCCAAAATTGCTCAAATTAGTCAATCCAACGAAGCTACGCAGTTGGATATCACGCAAATTCGAAGTTTGCGGTTCGTTATCACATCCATCGCATTATGCACCAATAGCGGCTTCACTAGACTGAAATACGCTCATAGATTATTTTTAATTCGGAAGTTTCAATCAGTAAGTGAATATAATTTTCCAATTTGATTCCTGACAACACATCGCCAATTAACAGGCACTCGATCTGCCTATTGCAATATATGCTGGTGGTGATCACAAATAAAAATGTCAGAGGATGACTTATTTAGCGCTAGTCATGTTTTCAAAACTAAACAATTAAGGGTTGATGGCAGTTATGGTTTATTGGATTGGAATATGGCCTTGCTGTGTTATAAAGCAATCTGTTTTGAAAAAAAAAAATAAAAATATTAAATATATAAAGAGAGAGCCGAAAAACTACAGAGGCATTGCAGTTATATGTTCAATCGGACGTTTATACTCGCGGGTCATAAAATCAAAAATTGAACAGCAAATAGCTACAAGGGAAATGGAAGAGCAGTCAGGTTTCCGCGCCGGAAGATCGGTGATAGACTTTTTACTTTTACTCTTAAAATCCTTGTAGAAAAGAGGAAACAGAGAAACCTAGAGACACACTTAGCCTTCATTGACTTGGAAAAGGCATATGACTCCGTCCCTATACCCAAGCTGTGGAAAATAATGTTAGCCATGGGAGTCAAGCCAAAATTAATCGAGGCGACCAAGAACCTGTACCAGCACAACACTGCAAGAGTTAAAATAGCAAATATGCATCTAACAGAACCTTTCACCACTGATAAAGGACTACGACAAGGCTGTTGCTTATCGCCGACATTGTTTAAGATATATATAAATGAAAAACTTAAAACGTATTGGAATAGCCGTAGATTAAAACCTCCTTGTGACCCTCTTCTATGCTGATGATCAAATAGTGATAGCCGAAGATGCAGATGATCTGAGCTATATGGTACAGAAACTGAACGAGTATTATGTACATGCCGGTTTGAAAATAAACATGACGAAGTCAGAATACATGATTGTAGGTAATGACAAAGTAAGAGATCTACCTCGAAACTCGAAAACGAAAAAATGATAGGAGTAGAAAGATATAGATATCTGGGTGTAATATTTAATAAGGGCGGAGATAGCAGGGTAGAAATTCGGGAAAGAGTAGCAAAAGGTAGAAAGATAATCCGATCACTTACCTCAGTACTATGGGAGAAGAACATACGGAAGACAACAAAAAAACGAATGTACTCTTCCTTTGTGGAAAGTGTGACATTAAACGGAGCGGAGATCTGAGATCTGAAGAGAGACAATAAAAATAAATTATTATCTACAGAAATGGATTTTTGGCGGAGAAGCTTGGGCGTATCACGATTAGAACGAAAAAGAAACATCGATGTAAGAAGAGAAATGGAAATAGAAAAAGACATTACAGAGGAAATAGAAAGGCGACAACTGGTAACATGGACATGTAAACAGAATGACAGATGATAGATGGCTAAAACGAATTTTAAAATGGACGCCCCCGCAGAGACGAAAACGTGGTCGACCAAAGCGCAGTTGGAGAGACGAGGTGGAAGAAGCAATGGCAGAAAGAAATATTAATCCGGAAACCTTTTGCGATAGAAAATTGTGGAAACTGAGCACGGAGAAGCGAAGACAATCGCATTTATTTTCAAAACGTACCTTATTAAATTACCTTTGGCGTGACGAGTATCAAGTCAATGCGTATTAACATTATAATTGTTAATTTTCGACACTTACGTGTTTTATGTACATAAATTAAAAAGTGCCATAACTAATTGTGCCGAAAATGATTGACATTCAGGTGTCACACATTTGTCTTTTAAATTTTGATATTACTTAATTAATTAACTAATCCGAGATTACAACCCCTTGGGCAAAACTTCATTTGTGCGGCAACTAATATTAAGCCGCAATATACTAAATATACTTATTACGGAGGAAAATTGCACGTGCGTGTTAATAAATACTTTAAATACTTTGTACGATTGTTATAATTTTGCACGATATCTACGTCTGCAATCAATAATTGTTCAGAACACGTTCTTTAACTCCGAAAGTCGAAAGACAGGCGAAAATTAAACGGTCTCATGTAATGGACGACACGAACGTAAATTATGCAACTCCGACTTGATGTCACGAAAATTAAATTTTCCGAA